GGAGGAGGAGACGGGAGGAGGGGAGGACGAGACGCGTGGGAACGGAGCAACATAGGGTGAGAGCGCGGGACGGGGGAGACAGGACGAGCACGGGAGGGGCGGCGAGACCAGACGTGAGAGGGCGGCGTCGGGTCAGGAGACAGAGGAGGGGACACAGGAGGGGAACGAGGGGGAAGACGAGCCGGGGACGAGTCCGGCAGAGGGAACACAGGGCCGTAGACGGGAAGAGGAGGAGACGGCAAGAGAGGAACAGGCGCAGGGTCAGGGGACGGAAGGCCGAGTAGACGGAGGGCGGACACCGGCGGGGACTGCTGCTGCGGCGACACAACACCAACGCCAGGGCCACAAGCTGTGCGACGGCTACCTCCCGAAACCTCCACACCGGCACCCCCAGAAGGGACACCCCCAGAGCCCGAAACCCCACCAGCACCGGTACCACCCCCAGAGTCCACAAACAGCGGCAGCGACGACAGCGGCGGCGGCGGCGGCGGCTGCAGCGACGGCGGCGACGACGACGGCTGCAACGGCGGCGGCGGTGGAGACGACGGCTGCAGCAGCTGCGGCGACGGCGGCTGCGGAGGCGGTGGAGGAGGAGACACCGGGGGAGGGACAGACGGCGAGGACTGCGCCGGAGGACTACCAGAGTCAGAAGACTCGTCGACCGGGACGACCGACGGGAGGGGGGTGACGTGAGACACACCAGAGGGGGCCGGACGGGGGGGCGGGGGGGGGGAGGGGCAGGGACCACCAGGGAGGGAGGAACCAGGAACAGGGGGGAGTAACCGGGGGACCACGGTGGGGAAAGCGGCGGTAGAAGGAGACGGACTCGTCAAAGGTGACGTCGCGAGAGTGAAAGAAGCGGTGAGACGGCGGGTGGTAGAAGTGCCAGTCGGACGCGTCAAGGGGGAAACCGAGGAAGACGCAGGGGAGGGTGCGGGCAGTGAGCTTGTCCGTGCCAGAGGCACGAACGTGAGCAAGGCAGCCCCAGACGCGGAACGCAGACGCGTCACCAGGGGACCCGGTCCACAGAAGGGTCGGCGAAACCTGCGGCCGCTGGGGGTGCGGCCACAGGTTAAGCTGGTGAGCGGCGTAGCGCACGGCGAACGGCCACAGAAAATGGGGTGCACCGGCGTGGATCATGGAGGTGCGAGCCACCTCCATGACCAAACCGATGCGTCGCTCAGCGACCCCATTCTGCTGCGGGGAGTCCGGCAGGGTAAACGTCTGGGTGATGCCCTCCGCACGACAGAAGCGACCAAGGACACCTGAGGCAAACTCGCCACCCCGGTCGGAGTGGAGGCGCAAGGCAGGGAGACCGCGGTGGACACGAGCAGAGACAAGCCAGGGGATGAGAACGTCAGGCACGTCGGCCTTCCGCTCCAGGGGGAAGACGGTGGTGTAGCGCGTGAAGTCGTCGACAAGCACTAGGAAGAAGCGCTCGCGACGCGTCCCATGGACCGGGGCTGGGCCCCAGACGTCCATGTGCAGAGTCTGCAGTGGTGCGGTGGTAGGGGGAAAAGAGGAGGAGTGAGGGGCACGGCGGAGCCGGCCCTCGACACAAGGCGTGCACGGTGGGGCGGGGGAGGAGGGAAACTCGGGGAACGAACCGGGGAGACCAAGGACGAGACCGTGCTGGGACATGTGACGCAGACGTGGGAGTGCAGGGTGACCAAGGCGGTGGTGCCAAAGGAGAGTCGGGTGAGTGAGGGACCGACAGGAGCACGCGGCAGCAACCTGGGTGGACGCAGCTACCGGGGGGGAAGACCCAGCCGGGGACGTCGCGGTGTCAAGTGTGAACAGGCCGGACACCGGGTCCCGGGGGAAAGTGGTAAGGGGGGCACCAGTGGCGGCCTCGGTACAGACAGCATACCGCTCGTGACCAGGGAACGTAGTGGTGACGCCAAGGTCCTGGAGGCAGCCGACACCAACTAGGTTCCTGGAGAACGAGGGGATATGCAGACCGGTGAGCGAACCTGAAGGAACCGCCGGACAGGGAAGGGAGGTGGAACTGCGGGCAACGACGGGACCACCGGAGGGGTCAGCAAGAGTAACGGCAGCGGGAACAGGCAGCGGCGTCAGCGTCGTGGAGTCGCGGAAGAAACACCGGGAGGCGCCAGAGTCCAAGGTGAAGGAAAGCGCAGCAGTCGCGTGAGGCGGCAGTGAAGCGGTGGAAGCACCAAGGCTAAGCAAAGCAGGAGATCCTACGCCTGACGCAGCAGGGGAGTCTACGCTAGGCACCGCTACACTAGGCAACACGGGGTAATAAGAGGGAAGCACACTAGAGTCATCAGCATACATCACATGCAAGGCTGCTACAATGGCATCCATGTCCAAGTCAAAAATCCTAATGCTACGCCTAAGCAAGCTGTGCCAGTCCGGGAGGTCGGGCGCCGGGCCAAAGCGCTGGCGGAACAGGTCGTCCAGACGACGAAAACAGCGAGGAGTAGAATGACCGATCTTACCGCAAATGAAGCCGCGGCGAGGACCGGTCTGGAGCTGGTACTGACAGGGCCCGCCTCCAGAACCACCACCCGGTGCACCACCACGCGCACGACCACTACCAGCTCCAGGCCACCCAGGCGGGAGAGCACTCGCCGGCCTCGTCTGCGGCGGCTGCTGCGGCTGCTGCGGAGGCTGCGGCTGCGGCGACTGCTGCTGCTGCTGCTGCTGCAACGGTGGAGGCAGCGGGGCAGCTGGACCGGGCAGGGTCCCCACGTCCGCACCGGCACCGGACGACCCGCCTCCACCACTACCCCCACCCGCACCCCCGCCGCCTCCGCCGCTCCCAACCTTGGGGCGGCGGCCCTTCGCCGAGCGGGACTGCACTGCAGCAGCAGTCTCAGCCACAGCGACAGAGCCGTCGGAGAAGGTACACTGAGCGGGGGCACAACCCTGAAAGATAGGGACCGGTACTGTACCGCTCGCCTGGGCTATGGAGCGGTGACGAGTCTCTATGGCAGTCAGGGTGTCAACAAAGTCGGTGAGGGTGAGAGCAGCAGGATGGATGCTAAGGAACTGGTCGCGGGCGGCGGCAAGGCGGTCAGGGAGGCGGGTGGCAAGGAGGTAGAGGGTGGAGGTCATGGGAGGCTGGTGGACTCTAAGCTGTGCATCAGTGCAGGCAGCGCGCCAGGCCTCATCTATCGAGCGCAGGTGGGCAGCGAGGTCAGAGACAGTGGGGAAAGACGCCAGGTCAGGAAAGAGCAGGGGGAGGATCAGGCGACCCACTGAGGCAGCAGGAGGGGTAGAATAGCGCTTGATGACAGCATCAAGGTAGGCCTGGGCGGTAGTAATGGTTCTAAAGCGAGGGCGCTCAGGTGGGGGGAGGGCATTGCTAATGGCGAGCTGAGCAAGGGCATCGCGGGAAAGCCAGACAGAGCGGGCAAGGGCAGCAGCGGCAGTGGACTCGCGCTCAGCGGGCGTGGGATCAGCGGGCAGCACAGCAGGGGGGTCAGGGCAGGGGAGCATACCGTCTAGGTGTGCAGCAAGCGGGTGGCCGTCCTGCCGCTGGCCAGTGAGGTGGCGGCGAAGGTCAGCCAACCACGCCTCGAACTCCAGAGGCTGACCCTCAGCATCAAAACGAAGCTCAGCAGCCATGAGGGGCAGTGGTGGACAGTGCAGTGCGGTGCAGTGCGATCCAGTGCGGTGCAGTGCGGGCGGTGCGGTCCAGTGAGGTGCAATGCGGTTCAAGGCGGGGCAGGAAAGTGAAGGAGGGTGCAAAGTGGTGCGGGGAACGGGGGACAGTACTAGGAAGTATGGAGGGCCGGGGCAGGCGCGTCAGGGCCGGGCAGGCACGACAAGGCCGGGCGGCGGCGACGGGGCCGGGCGGCTGCGACGGGGCCGGGCGGCGGCGACGGGGCCGGGCGGCAGCGACAAGGCCAGTCGGCTGCGGCGTGGCCGGGCGGCTGCGACGGGGCCGGGCGGCTGCGACGGGGCCGGGCGGCAGAGACGGGGCCGGGCAGGACACAGCAGGGCCGGGCAGGGGCGACGGGGCCGGGCGGCTGCGACGGGGCCGGGCGGCAGCGACAAGGTCGGGCGGCAGGGACGGGGCCCGGGCAGGACACAGCAGGGCCGGGCAGGGGCGACGGGGCCGGGCGGGCGAGCAGGGGCCGGGCAGGGCGACAGGGGCCGGGCAGCCGCGACAGGGGCCGGGCGGGCGCCACGTGGCCGAGAGGCCGCGACGGGGCCGAGCAGGGGCGACGGGGCCGAGCAGGGGCGACGGGGCCCAGGAGGGGCTCGACGGGGCCCAGGAGGGTCGCTACGGGCCCAGGAGGGGCGCTACGGGCCCAGGAGGGGCGCTACGAGCCCAGGAGGGGCGCTACGGGCCCTGGGAGGGGCGCGAGGGGGGGGGGGCCTGGGAGGGGCGCGACGGGGCTTGGAGGGGCGCTACCAAGCCCAGGTAGGGGCGCGACGGGGCCTGGGGGGAGCGCAAGGGGGCCCAGGAGGGGCGCTACCGGGGCCTGGGAGGAGCGCGACTGGGCTAGGGAGGGGCGCAACGGGGCCTGGGAGGAGCGCAATGGGGCCCAGGAGGGGCGCTACGGGGCCTGGGAGGAGCGCGACGGGGCCCTGGAGGGGCGCTACCAGGCCCTGGAAGGGGCGCGACGGGGCCTGGAGGGACGCTACGAAGCCCTGGAAGGGGCGCGACGGGGCCTGGAGGGGCGCTACGAAGCCCTGGAAGGGGCGCGACGGGGCCTGGGAGGAGCGCGACGGGGCCCTGGAGGGGCGCTACGGGGCCCAGAAAGGGGCGCAACGGGGCCCAGGAAGGGGCGCGACGGGGCTAGGGAGGGTCGCGACGGGGCGAGGGAGGGTCGCGACGGGGCTAGGAGCACGACGGGGCCCAGCTAGGGGGCGAGCGGAAGCGTGAGGGGGGGGGGGGATCCTACCTACGCGTGATACCATATCAAACAGTGAAATTGATAAGTTGAGAGAGAGAGAGTACACAAACATATACCTAACAGTTGTACTCTCTAGAAGATGACCCTATACAGTCTATACAAGCATGATAACTAAACATGTTTGACATCACTTTCTAGAGAGGGATAAAAGGCAGTGTCAAACTTAAACTCCTTGTTTACTTTACAAGCAAACCCTTTAAAAGTTCCCCTTGTACCCTCAATAGATACGATAGCCCCGAGCCTCTTATTTGCCATGAAAGCGGCCTTTCAGTTGGGTGCGCGGACAGACTAAAATGGAGCGCAGATTCCTGCTCCCTCCAGTACCCTCGTCAAACCCTGACGAGAATCATTTGGTCGGACCTGGTAGTTCGGATTTCGGGTCGAATAGGGTCCCCTCCCCGCTTAGGCGGTGCCGTAGCTTGCGTATTTGCAGTCCGGCGCGACGATAGAGGATGAGATATAATCCTCCACTTCCCCGTCCAGAAACCCCCTCCCTTCCGCCTTATCCACGTCGACGGGGTGGCGCAGCAGCGCCGCTAGGTGCGAGTACTTAACCGCGCGCTGCAGCTGCTCCAGCGTGTTTCTAAAAGTCTGCCCCAGCACTCCGTGCACGGCCGACGTCATCTTGACGTCAGAAAGCTCCACGTTGAAGTGAGCTTCCGCCTCGGTCGGAGTCTGCAGTAGCGGGTGCGCCACGCGCGCGCGCACGTCGAGTTCCCCCAGACCCGCCACGCGCACTTGAAACTGATCCACGTCGAACGGCCCCTCTTTCTCCTCCGCGACTTTGGTAACCACCAGGCCGCCTTTCGTCGCGATTGATTCTCCAACGCTCGGCGGGCTCGTCGTCTCGCCGTCGATCTCGAGGAGCGAGAGAAAGCCGTTGTCCCCGCGCTCCTGCTGCTTCCCCTTGCGCGCAACCATGCGCAAAGTGTGGTTCGCGCCGTCGGGCGTCATCCACACCACGCCGACCTCCTTAATCCACGTGTGCAGCTCGGTGCTCGACTCCTTATCATTCGACGACGCCGACGCGGGAAGAGCGGGCGGCGCGCCCTGGTAGCCGCTCAGATGCATATTCACGTGGAATCGACGGTCGGAGAAGAGGCAGAAAGACCGGTCCAGACGGCCCGTGAAATCGTAGTGCGTGCCGTGCGCGCCGGTCAGATGAGGGTCGTTTTCGACGAGCGCGGTACCGTTGCAGAGCCCGCCGACGAAGCTGAGCGGGTACAATGCCGCATTCGCCGCCTGCGTGGCCGCATCGCCCGCGTTGGGGGTTTTAAAGGGCCCCGACGTGCCCGACCCGCCGTTCTTCTCGAGAAGGTAGCACTGGATTCGGTCGATGAAGCCCGTTACTCTGGCGTTTTCGCCGGCGAGACGCGCGCTGGAGGGAGGACGAGAAACGTAAAGCGACGAAAAACAGACGGAAATGAAATTAGTCAGTCACGAACCATCCTGCGCGCGGGAAGCCTTCGCGATCTTACCGAGGGCATCCCGCTGAAAAGCAACGGAAATCGAAAGTAGTACTTCGCTGGAAAGCAGCGGAAATCAATAGTACTTCACTGGAAAGCAACGGTCCTGAGCGTTATTCTAGGGGTTCAAATACATGGCGGCGGGCTTACTTCTTGAACCAATGCCACTGGTAGCAGTAGGTGGAGCGGGCGCAGGCGCGGCAGCACTCCTGCAGCGTATCGCCATACACGCCCTTCACCACGTCGAATATGGTCCCAACCTCCGTGTACCGCTCGAAGTTCACGGGGCCCGAGCCGCGCTGGTGCGGTGTGAACTGCCCACCCTGGTCGTTGAACAGCCCCTGGTATTCGCCGATGTATTTGTAGCCGGTGTACGTGGACTGCGAGATTGTAGCGGTAGCGAGGTTGTCTATGTAGGGGCAGACGTAGCGGGTGTGGCATCCGCCCGCGGGCATATTTGCTGCGTGCGCAGCGTGAAGTAGGCTCATGAGCGCGAGGAATAGGGAGACTGTCTTAGGAAATGCCATACTTGCGCTCAAGTTGGTGTTCCAGTGGGGATTCGTGTTACGGTCTAAGCAAGAGGTGAGTGAAGACTATCCAAAGGAGAAGATGGCTTTGAGTAGGCCGTTGTTGCTGACAAGTTGAGAGTTGCGTCTGTTATAGATGGGAACCGCGGTGAGGCTGAAAATGACATGAGGCGCCACTGAAAAGACCGGCTTGTTTCGCTGGATTGCCGAAAACCCAGTTGAGCCCACTAGCGAGTCGTGTGTTTGTGCTTTGGGAATGTCGAACATTTGCCGCACTGTAAAAGAATTTACCGATCTGAAACGCGTGAAAAGGCACGCCACCGTACAGAAAGAGCCAGAAACCAGGTCTTTTGTTGCATCGAGTCGCGCATTGGGCAAGGTAGGGTTGATTTGTCCAGCTCGCCCGCCACTCGCGAAGCGCCCACAACCTCCCTCACGCCCCCACCGAACCACATCTGCCCTGCCCCAAATCAACCCATTGGAGCCAGCTCGGGTGAGGTGCTTGCCAGATGGGCGAATCTCGCTGGATGGAGGCAAAATTGATTGGGCTGTGCTGGGCTTGCCCCCCCTCCTGTACTGAACCTTCCCTAGGTGCCTCGCGTCTACGTAAACAGTTCATTTACTGTCTAGAACGATTTACAACGATGAAAGCGGTTTTTGGGTTGCGTAGCAACCTTATAAATTTGGTTTCGTGTTTTCGTGCGCCAGGGATACTACACTCGTATACTGCTCTAATACACCTCTGATGTATGTTTCATCTACCAATGTATAAAAACGTACATTGTCGCAATTCTTCGTTTTATGCAAGAATTGCACACAAACCTTTCGAAACATCCACAGGTTACATAGACCAGTCCATTACACACACATTGCACTAAACATCATACATCCTCCTCCATTCCACTTCATACACAAACAACAATAAATACCACACCACTCTTACTCATCACTTGAAACAAACGAACAGATAAAATAACACACAAAACAAACGAAACGGAAAATATGCTCGCGTGCAATATGTGGTAGTTCATTTGGGGTTGTGCATGTTAACTAAAATAAATAATGAAATACAAGTGGAACAAGGGGGATATATGCGTTCAGGTTCTACCATCTAACAACATATAACTATCTAGCATATAACTTCTACATAGCAACATATGTATAAGTTGACACACCCCCTAGGCTAGATAAGGGGTAGTGCACAACAAGAAACACAAAGCTCAGGATGGCACTACTAGTCCAACCTCTGAGGCTAGGGTCCAAAAACCAGTTAGCAAGAGTACAAACAAGACAAGAGCAAACCAGGGCGGCACTACTAGTCTGACCACTGGAAGAGTAGCCACAAGGCCAGTCAGAAAGGCATAAATATGGAGGAGTACACAATCAAGGTCCTAGCAAGTGAGAGTCTACATTAACTAGTCCTAGCTGGAAGCAGAGCCGCTGATGATATTTAGGCGCAAGCGCCTTAGTAAAGATATCAGCTGTGTTGGCACCGGAGGCCAAGTGTACTACGCGGGCCTGGCGACGCTGCTGTAGCTAGCGCAGGAGGAAGTACCGCAGCTGGATGTGCTTCGCTCTGCCCTCAAGTCGAGGCTCCTGACACAGGAGGATTATGGCCCGGTTGTCAGTGTACAGGACCGGGGCAGAGCTAGGCCGCTCACCAAAGGTGGCCAGCAAGAAGGTCAGCCAGCGGAGCTCGTGTGCCGCCATGGCACCGGCATAGATCTCAGCCTCACAGCTAGACTAGGCAACACACGACGAGCGACTGGACCTCCACGAGATGGCACCAGAACCAAGGCTAAAGCTATAGCTCAGGGAGGACCAGAGGGTCTCAGCGTCGTTTGCCCAAGAAGAGTAAGGACCACTGGCCGACGTCCTCTCAACACTAGCCCCATGCCCGATATACTTACAAGATAACGCAAAACCCTCTTAGCGGCCGACCAGTGCTGTGGTCGGTGTCTGCCAGTGGCCACAAGCGAGCCAGGATGATGAGAGGGTATACGAGATCAGGACAAGTGCAAGTCATCATGTACATAAAGCAACCCACCAGCTCTGCGTAAGGACCACTGGGCTCTCCTAACTCCTCGGGAACTAGAGCTGAGAGCCTGTAATCTACTGGCAGAGGTGTGGGCTATGCGGAGGAGAACTGAAGACTGAACCTCTGAAGGACCTGGCGTACCACATGTGACTATGTAAGAGTGATGGTGCGCGCTGCTCTGTCCCTGGAGATCTGAAGGCCAAGGTAGCGGCGCAGCCCTCCTAGGTCAGTGCAGGCGTGTCTCCTAAGCAGCTCGGCCTTCACGAAGGCTAGTGCGTCTCCGTATGCAGTAGCGAAGACCAGGTCCTCTACGTAGACAAGAATGTAGAACGGAGTCTGGTGAGCACGAAGGAAGAGCGAAGGGTCTGCAGCAGATGCAAATAACTGCAGGTCAGCTAGTGTAGCACGCAGCGTGTCGTGCCACTCATGGGGCACCTGTCGCAGGCCGTAGACCGGGCGCCAGAGGAGCCACTGGGTCCCAGGAGGGAAGGTACCGGTGAAGCCCTGAGGACGGTGCAGGTAGACCTGCCCGTATAGGCTGCCCTGAAGAAAAGCAGAAGAGAAGTCGAGGGAGTGAAGCTCGTAGCCACGCTAAGCTGCTACATGTAGAAGCGCCTGAAGAGAAGTCATCTTCGGGGTCGAGGCGAAGGTCTGAAAGAAGTCCACCCGCTGACTGAAGCCTCTAACCACGTAGCGCGCCTTGATCACAGGCGGCTCTCCAGGGGGGCGCTTCACCTTGAAGAGCCACCGGCCATCGACTACGTTCAACCCAGGTGGGGGAACAGCGTCGACATAGGTGCCGGTGGATCTCGAAGATGAAATCTCCTGCTCCATGGCAGCTATCCACTGAGAGGCCCGGGGTCCCAAGGTCGCCTCAGCGTAGGTGCGAGGGGTCGGGATGTCAAAGGCGTCTGGGTCACCCTCAGGGACTAGCAGCATGGAACAGAGATGGGGAGGAGCCTCGGACAGGAAAGCAAGCTCGTACTGCCTGTCCTTTAAGACGTCACTGCCAAAGGCAGGAGCACCCCCGACAGACGAAGGACAGACAGGGTCAGAGACCAGTGTAGTGTCGTAGTTAAGGCGGCGGGTAGAGGCGAATTCAGTGACAGCATCGACAAGAGTGTCAAGACTCGAGAGAGGAACAGACGGGTCGGTAACGAGGGAGGCAAGGACTCGAGGAACAAGAGGACGAGCAGCACGAAGGTAGTCAGACAGAGGGGGAGGCGCGACAGCGAGCGACGACGGAGGAGGCGAAGGCAGGAGGGGAGGACGAGACGCGTGGGAACCAAGCAACATGGGGTGCGAGCGCTGAACAGGAGAGACGGGACGAGCACGAGAGGGACGGCGAGACCAGACGTGAAACGGAGGCGTCCGGTCAGGAGACAAAGGAGGAGAAATAAGAGGAGAACGAGGTGGGAAACGGGCCCGGGACGAGTCCGGCAGAGGAAACACAAGACCGTGGACAGGAAGAGGAGGAGGCACGGGTGAGCGGTCGGGGGAGGGAAGGCCGAGCAGGCGAAGGGCGGACACCGTCGGCGACTGGTGCTACTGCTGCTCGACGTCGACACCTGGACCACCTGCTGCACCACGGTCACCTCCGGAACACTCCACTCCAGCACCCCAGATGAAGCAACCCCAGAGCGAGAACCCTCTCCAGCACCGTTGCCACCCCCGAGCCTGCCGGGACAAGCCACGACAGGAACCCTAGGACTAGCACCCTCCTCAACGCCAGCACCCCCAGAGTCCACGAACGGCTGCGGCTGCTGTGACGGAGGCGGGTGTTGCGGCGACGGCGGCGACGGCGACGGGGGAGGAGGAGACACCAGGGGAAGGACAGGCGGTACAAACTACGCCGCGGGGCCATCAGAGTTAGCCAACTCCTCGACCGGGGAAACCGGCGTGAGGGGAGTGACGTGAGACACACCAGACGGAGCAGGACGGGGAGGGAGGGGAGCAGGGGCGACCGGGCGAGTGGGAACCGGAAACAGGGGGGGGGGAATCGGGAGACCTATGTGGGGAAAGCGGTGGTAAAAGGAGACAGGCTCGTTGAAAGTGGCGTCACGGGAGTGAAAGAAGTGGTGAGACGGCGGGTGGTAAAAGTGCCAGTCAGACGAGTCAAGAAGGAAATCGAGGAAGACACAGGGGACAGTATGGGCTGTGAGCTTGTCCGTGCTGGAGGCATGAACGTGAGCGAGGCAGCCCCAGACGTGGAACGCAGACGCGTCACCAGGGAACCCGGTCCAAAGAAGGGTTGGCGAAACCTACGGCCGCTGGGAGCGCGGCCAGAGGTTAAGCTGGTGAGCGGCGTAGCGAACGGCGAACGGCCACAGAAAATGGGGTGCACCGGGATGGATAATGAAGGGATGTGCAAGCCTGTAAGGGAACCCGAGGGAACCGCCGGACAGGGAAGGGTAGTGCAGCTCCGAGCAACCATAGGACCAGAGGAGGGGTCAGCAAGTGCGATAGCAGCTGGTGCAGCAAGCGGCTAGAGGGTGGCGTGGTCGCGGAAGAAGCACGCTGATGCACCGGAGTGATTAGTGAAGGACAACGAAGCCATAGTGGAAGTCGAAGGAGGTGCAAGCGTAGAGCCTAGGCTAGACAGGGCAAGTGGTCCTACGCCTGACGCAGCAAGGGAGTCTGGACTACACACAGGTGCTACGCCTAAGCTAAAGAACACAGGGTAATAAGATTCGGAAACACTTGAAGCGTCAGCATACAGAGAATGCAGGGCAGAACTAATCTGATCCATGTCTAAGTCAAACACAGGCACACCGTGGTGCAGCAAACTAGGCCAGTCAGGGAGGTCCGGGGCTGGACCGAAGCGGCGACAGAAGAGGTCGTCGAGGCGACGGAAGCAGCGGGTGGTCAGTTGCGGGCACCGGTACACCGTGCCATGAAGGGGCCCGGTCTGGAGCTGGTACTGGCAGCTCACAGAACCGAAGCCGCCGGTGGACGCCGAGCTGCGAGGGCCACAAACATGGCCACCACCTCTAGGGGCTCCAGGCCACCCTGGCAGGAGGCGAGCCCACGGCTGCTGCTGCTGCTGCGACTGCGACGACTGCTGCT